TACAAATATATAATTCTAGTGGCAGTGTTGTTTCGTGTAGAATCTATTTAGTAAACAATTTAATATCAATACAATAGAGATGTGATAAGCTCGATAAAGTGAAAAATGGAAACGAGTGAAATCGAAACGTTTATATCGATAAGAAGTTATCGAATAGTTTAAATGCCAAATGAAAACGGTTCCACTACATTTGCGTCCACATCCACTTTTAAGAATCTAAATCTTCCTCGCGAGTCAAAAAGGATTCATATTGGAGACCGGTAATTTAATAATTTCTTATTTGAAACTAATAAATTATTTTTTATCGACTTCCTCATGTATTTGTAGTTGTACACATCAAAGTATCTCCAAATCGAAGAGATCTTGTTCAGACATATTTGTATACAGTTTTTTGGTACTTCTATTTTTGAGTTTTAAAATCAAAAGCTAGGTCAGTTTAATTGCATGTTTTGCTTTTTGTTATTACAAAAGAAATTATTTTAATTTGTGTAATATTAATATATCGGTGCAAGGCTCAACTTGCAGGTAATTTGTCAAATTTAATATGCAAAATAAGTGTCAAGGAAACTTACCATTTAAAGCACCTAAGTTTAAAATAAGCGACTCCTATTCCATAAATAAATGCATGGTTTGTCCAGTAATTATTTTCTCGGAATCGTAAATACTTCTGGTACGCAGATAAGGCTAAAACGAACATTTAAAGAATACAACACATTATAATATCGAATTAATGATGTCTTAAAAGGAGTATTAATTATAAGCTGCAGTTATGGATTGTAGATTATGTCTATCTTTACGTTTATACAATAATAGAAAATGTTATTTTAATAGTTGCTATTAAGATTAATCATTCCTTTTACAAAGTTAAATATCTATTCCAGATATTATATAATTGGAAACCTTTTTATGTATATCTTGTAGATCACACGTAAACTGTTGAATCATTTATAGAATCAATCTGGCGGAACTGGCTTTACTCTAATATAATACCCTCTATAATATATATAATACAAGTCCAAGATAACCGACATATGTATATCTTTTTGGTGAACCTGAGTCCGCAGATCGTATCTACTAAGTGCACGTAAACGTTTAGTTACCTTCCGAGTATTCGCCAAGAAGTAGATGCAGGTGACCAAGCTTACAAAGAGCATTAATATATTGTTCATCTTGGGCTTTTTCATCTCCAACGGCGCCTTTTTCGCTAATTTGCTTATCGAGAAGCTTGCTGTCTTCATTATTTTGTGACGATGCGTTTTCCATATGTTGATCCGCTGGGTTTGAAGGGTCATACTTTTGTATAGCATTTTTATTGTCATGGGTGTTCTTCATATCAGGCAATTGGCCATTAGCAATGTAGTTTTGCAAGTTCGTTACAGTCTGTTGAACCAGATTCCTTATTTCCACATTTTTTGAGTTGGACAAGTCCAGAAAGCCATAGTATCGACTGAAATTTATGTAAATATTATTCAAGGAAGACCATGCAAACCAAGTACATTCTTACCTATCCAGCTCGCGGATGAGGCAATCATCCTCAAAGGAAAGTTGTCCCATTGTTAAACCAACTGTTTTTAAGAATACCGGTCCTTAAAAGTGTGTAAAATAATACAGCGTAGTTTTTAAAACCTTTTTTATTTATATTTTCATTATAGTGATGGCACAACACTAAAATATGGTTAGAGATGAGTGAGATTGAAATTTTGTGACGTGTCACGGTACTCATAATATAGTTTTCGCACCGCGAAAAACTTCGGGGAACGATTGATATTTTCGGAAAGATGTGAATTTTGTTGGATGCGAGCGACGATTTTAAAAATTAAGCAAAAAACTTGTATTGCTTTTTAACAAAGACCAAAAATAAAAACTTAGAAGCCTATTAAAAAAATGTTGGGAGCGATATTGGCTTGGGTCAGCTACTAGCATAATTTGGTTATCGATATATTTGATAATAGATAAATTAATACAGATAATATTTTAAATTACATTTTATCGAATTTCATTCTTAAAGCTGACAACCGTTTTTCTTGCTGAAATATTTAAAATTTAAAGAAGATTAAAGTCGACCTTTTAAAAGATCACAAAATAAACTGTTGTTTTTAGAAAATTAAAAGATTTAGCAAACGGTATTTAGCAGCAATTACATTTAATATTAAAATCCATAAAGAAATTCCCTTGATCGTACACATATTAGCTGCGTTTGTTAAGAATCCTTTCTCGTTTTCGATGTTTTCATTAACTGTAAAAAGAAAAAGCAAAATGTTATTGTTAGGCTTGTATGATAATTAGATAAGATTAAGGGGTTACAATAAAAATAAAATTATTTTGCTGTGTTTTGAATGCTATTTAAATCCTATAACTACAATCCATGTTAGATATGGATAACGTACATGTGTCCGCTGCGTTTGTAACATCCACTGAGGCAATTTCTACGTTTTCGGTATCTGAAAGAAAAATAATATAGGTTTAGCTGTAGCAATATTTTGGGGAAAGTTTTTTTTTTTTAGAGTTAAAATGCGAATAATTTAATGCAAATGAAATGAAGACTTAGTTAAATTAGTTCTTACCGGTTTCTGTCAAATCCTCTACCTCAGTTTCAAAGTCAACTTCAACTGTAAGAACACAATTTTTAAATAATTAAACAAGAAGTGTAAATCTATTTAGCCTTACTGGGATTAGCTGGTTCTTGAAAATACACTGCATCAGGATCAACGTATTCCTTAACTAAAATAAGTAGGAAAATAAATAAAAAAAATTATAATATTTCATTATCCAAAGCTGTAGCTTTTCTTCTCTTTCATCTTGAAATTCCGGTTTAGTGTGGAACTCTTCAGCATTATCGCAAAAAATATTCTTATCAAATTGCAGTTGATCTTTCTTTGGAAAACAAGGGAAGGTTTCTCTAAACCTATTTGTTTTCATGATCCCTGTATGATAAACTATTTGACAATAATAAATACTATTATTTACATTACCTATTTCTGCGATTTTTCTTTGACGATAAGGTAGAGATGCACTGTAGTTATTATTTTCAATGTCCGCAATCTCTGCGCTCTGTAAAAGGGCATATATCCAACTTAAATATGAGTTTAGTTGCGTAAATCTTGTTGAATTCCGAATTTCGAGATTAGATTCTCGTTTGCTTTTCGATGGAAATTCGAACGAAATAATTCCAACTAAATTACTTTCACGAATGACCCCGAAACCGGGATAAATTTTTTCTTCGTTTGAAATTTTCCAAATCTGTGGGATTACATTTATTATTAGAATAGTTAACTTTTCAAAAATTGGGTATAATCAGTACTTACGTAAGATTCCACGCCGTCTTCTAAAGGAGAATCCTTGAGATCATAGTCAGCCACCAAAACCCATTGAATATCGTTTCGTTCAGAAAGGGGAAGTTGTGTACTTAGACTCAGAATAGCAATATCGTTATCCAAAGATGACACATTGTATCCAGGATATATGTCAATGCCACTAACAAAGTAAATTGACTCATCCAAGTCTTCGCCTTTGAAGGATACAGCTAATTCATCAGATTTTACAAATTCTTTTCCGTTTGAGGTTTTGTTTGCACTTAATAAACACGAAGCTGCTGTAAGAACTAGACGACTTTGAATAATATTCCCAAAGCAGTGCCCATCATTCAAAACTCCTAAATTATCCTTTTTGTGCAAGAGAACTTGGTAAGGAGGACGTAAGTACTCATTTTGAACGCACGGGAATAAGCACAAAATAACCAGAGCTACCGAAATCATAATTTCTTTTGATACGTTGACGGGAGAACCTTGACTGTCTTCACGGCTCCGGCTCCCTTACAAGTTTAAGATAGTAAGTAACCTCAGATGCACAGCAGAGATAAGGCTTATCTTTTTATATAATTTATACAAGTACAGCGAAATCCGCATAACTAGGTTTTATATTACCCATCACTATACTAGCTTAAGCAGGTGTGCGTAGTAACACTTAATTTAAATAAATTGGAACTACAGAAGTAGTCAAAAGCACCATAGACATTAATCTCAGAAGATAACGAATTGCACAGGGGCCGCCAAATTTTAATGGCTTATTTCACATGTTTTTACTGTTTTACCGTTTTACTGTTGTTTGTACTGCCTAATAAAACAACCGAAAAATTTAAGAGGGTAGATCACTAAAAATCTTCTTAGGGTGAACCTTTGTGTCCGAATTAAGTTATTATTAATGTATTACCATATAGTGAGGTGGACACTTTATTTTTCTACTCCCATTAAAAAGGTTCAAAATAATTTGAATTCCATCGAGGAACAAATACTCGTCACTGGCTTTAGATTTTGTGCCGCTTGTTTTTTTATGGTGTTCAAAATTTTATAAAATATTTCATTACTTCAAACATCAAAATTGGTGTTCAAAATAAAATATTTCATTACTTCAAACTTCAAACTAATACCCAAAATTCAACAATATACTATCCCTTAAATTTGTTTCCTGGGTTTTTTTTGATATAGGGTATATCACCGTAAACTTAATTTTCTTTTTGTTTGTTGGTTTAAATTTCCTCAGACTACGATTTGTTTGTAAACAAACGCAGCTGTCTGAGCAGTAAGTCCAAAATGTATGGAGTTCGAATAAACTCGTTCGCAGAAAAAGATAGATAAATTGCGTATTTTGTAGACTTAGAACGGCGGGACTGATATAGTCGATTGTTCTTACTTATTTCTTGTTAAGTGCCACAGAAACGTCGGCATTTCAGAACGCGAAAAATATCTTATCCACGTTTTAAAAAAATATAAAAAATAAAATAAACTGTTTTGGTTAGTTACCATTTTACTGGCTAAATGAAATTGTGAAACAGTAAACCGGACTTTAGGTATATTCGATAAATCTAAACTAACATATATGTAATGATTGACTTTAAACTTTAAAAATATTTACATTATCGCTTATAATGTTATACAACAGTAAGCTTTAAATAACAAAAGTTTCAAATTTTATTAACTTGAATATCGAGTACAATAAATTTTTTAATTTAAATGAAACCCCTTTTCTTTAGTTGCTGTTAACAAGCGCTCCTTCATGATCTCTTCAGTTGGGTAGTCTGGAAGCTTTAAGTAGTGAACGCAGGTGTTCACGGATGGATAGCTTCCCACGCCAGCATCTACCTTCCGAACAACTGTCAGCCGGGGATGTAGGTTCGCAAGTCCTCCTGGAGGCAGGCTACTGCAACCAGTTGTGAATTGGAGGAAGGCTTTCCTCTCGTCTCCCGACATGCTTAACAAAACGTTAACAAAGCGTTGGAACCCAGGACTGAAAAGCAATGATGGTTTAGTTTTTGATATTGCAAAATTAAAATCAATTGCTTGGTAAACATACCTGTCTTTGTTGTAGCCAAGTTTCGGTTCCGTATATGAAATAATGTCTTCTCGGCTCCAATGGGGGAACTGCTCGCCGCAAATCATCATTCGCGCCTCTGAGGGAGTGAAGGCAGCCAACTTTTTCAGGGGGAACACTTCGTTGAAGCCCTCGCTAAACGCTTTCATTTGCTGAGCGATTCCGTCCTGCAGGATGAAGTTCATGAGCAGTTCGCAGTACGCTTCCAGGTTGTCGATGGTGACATTCACAGACGATCCATTCGGCAGCAGTTCGGCCTGCGTGTAACCATAAATCGAGGAACTCGGCAGATACGTGAACGTAAGGGCCAGGTCTTCGAGAGATACCTCCAAGCCATTGCGAGTGTGCAGCTTAAGCTCGTTGATTAGTTCTTGTTTCTTTTCTGCGCTTATAGTATCGTCAAACTCAATTGACTGCTTTCGCATTAATAGGTTCTGCAGTTCCTGTAGGAATTGATAGCGAGTTGGATCTATTTCCTTCAAATTCTCCAACGACAGAATTCCACCGAATGCGTTGGTCTTATTTGAATCAGTTCGCAGTAGTTTAGTGCAGGTTTCTAATAAATCGGATTCTTCTGACACCACTGAGAGATCGCCATTTCGTCTATCCGAAATTACTTTTTGGAGATTACGTGATAAGACTTTGTTGTGACAAAGCAATTGAAGAAATGATGTCGATAGAGGTATATCCACTAAACGCATATCCTGCAACACTTTTGCCACAAAAACTCCAAAGAACCAGAAGTATTTGAGAACCCTCTCGCATATTTCGGTATTCTGCGGTAGTGGTGCTGGGAAAATGCCGTGCTCCCTTCGATTTACGTAATACCCAACAGGTTTTGCATTGCCCTCCGAGCTCTCCGCTGGGACTTCGGCGTCCTCGCCCAAGTCATCGTCACACAGCCACATACAGAGGTCGGCGCGTTGAATTTCTGCGGCCACCAAGGCGTAGAACTCTAGAGTAGGTCCCAAGCCAGTGCCTTCCTCGTCCAAAAACTCTACCTCCAACACAGACTTTCGATTGCAGTGCGTCTTCATCACCTGCATTGCCCACTTAAGCAAATCCTCGTTTCGTGGCACCTTAACGCGTTCGTGCTTAAGACGCCCAATGCGGAATTCGTGATCATCTCGCCGAGGACTCATGATGGGTATCCTCTGCCGTTCCACGGTCACATCTCGCTGGGATTGCAGGCATACTATGCTGCGCGATGCTCCGAACGATGTGCAGTTAAAGTACAGCTGCCTGGTCTCGAATGGGAACAGGAAGGGGCAGGATTGGTTCAAGTTTTCGCACCAGTTCGGCAACGCATTGCTTGAGAGCACCAGTGGATCCTGAATTTGCTGCTGCAGTTTGTTTGTTATTTTCTTGCTGATGAAGAGATCTTCGGACAAGGCCGAAACACCAAGCTCCTTGACGTCCGAATCGATATCGGATTGATTGAGACCATTGATTTGAGTAAGCAGCTCAAGAACATCGTCCACGGAGCACAGGTTATTATCGGCTACATTGAATCCGATGTGCATGGGAGAGTTGGGAGATAAAGTTGATGCACCACTCTTTGATGACATGTCCGGCGATTGGGGGAAGTCCTCCGACTCCAAGCCGGTGCTCTCCTGCGCCTCAGGTGAAACCTCTCGGTACACAATAGTGTATGTGGGCTCCCATATTTTTCGGAATTTGTCCAGCTTGTTCAACTGACTGCACTGAAGTAATTCCTGCACGGCTCTGAATATGGTCCAATCGGTGTTGTTCAAGTCGATTTCCACTTCAGGAATACCTCCGATTCCAGGACCTCGTAATTTAAGTCCAAGCATGGGCTGTTCAATAGTCTCCGGCCCGCTTTGCTGGGGTTTGGGTAGTTCAGAGCCAATGGGGGATAATTCCAAATCAGACGTTTGGTTGACATTTGTGCGGCCCGGTCGCGGATCGAATGCTGGAATCAACGCGGAAAATTGCCTCTTCAGGACGAACTCGTCGTCCCAGGACTTGCGCTTGGTTACACCCACCAACCTGTTCTCCAAAGCCTCGTCATCCATGAAGGTAAGCAAGTTCCTGGATACCATCACTTGGAGCAGAGTGTTTCCCACCTCTTCGTACTCGTCTTCGTTCTCCTCCTCATCGTTGTCCTCATCCATATCATCCTCATCGTCCAAGTCGCCCAACAAAGCTGGCGCCCTGCAACTCTCCAAGAAGTCCTCCAAGGACACTTGCTCACTGTCACTCGATGTGGAAGTTAGACTCATTGTTAGGGTATGATTTATGGTGGAGGCCGATTGCTGACCCGTAGAAGTATTTGTTGGATTCGACGGGGCTATGTTTTCGCTATTGTTCGATGACAAACTTGGATAACTTTGGGCGGTGCTTAGCAGGCCAGAGTGGAAGTTGCTCGACAGCGCCAGCTTGACCAAACTGGTCACCGAGTGACCGAGGAATGAGCCAGATGCGTTCTGATCGCCGTGCTCGTTCACATTCACATCTGCATTCATAATCTGGTTATCCTGTATATTGGTACCCTGGGAGGTACGACGACGAGCGATTGCGGCAAATGTCTCCAGCAATCCGGTGTGGGTAGCCACCTCCGAAGTAGAAGGAACCTCTGAGGCCGAAGTGGTTGTCAGATTAGGAACACTTATGCTCATCTGGCTGGGTACCGAGACGTTTTCGGTTGCAATTTGCGGATCCTTGATGTCCACAATGGACAGCACAGCGTTTGGCTGCTGGGCTGGTTTCAATGTTACACTGGGCTTCTTTGAACTCTTGCTTGGGAATTCTTCGGTTGCAACTATAATTTGTTTTTGATTCGTACTATCGGGATTTATCAGTGCCTGAGCCTTCGGGGTCTTTTTGATACCGACTGCCACATTTGTGCAGGGCACTGGGAAAGGATCCGTGGATAGAATGTTATTGGAGTTGTTCCGTATCATGTCCACGCCATCGCGCATTTTGTCGATCATTTCGAGGGCCTCGGTGGAAAGTTGTGTCACCGGCTGGCAGCTAGCAATGTTCGAGGTTCGGAGATTCGCAAGCAAGTCCTTAGAAATCTTATTCACCGAGTTGTTGGCGTTCATCTTGTTGTTCTCTTCAATGTTGGATATGTTTTTGATATCACTGTCGCGCGGAGATGAACTCTGTACATCAGGAAGGCTTGAGCTTTGACTCGCAGTAACGCTCTCAGCGGGTTTGTAAGCTGGCGTGGTCAGAGCGCTACAGATATTTTCTTTGGAGAGCTCAGTTAGGGATAAGTTCTCCGAAATAGTGGCTAGGTCCGAGACAATACTAGAGTTAATTGCCGGCATGGAGTTGTTGATGGCCGATAAGTCCGATATGTGCTCCAACTCTCGACTTAATGGTGACGGTCCACTGATGTTATCCTTATGCATTTGGTTGGCACCCGACTCCTTGTGCTTGGCTCGAGCTTCCCTCGAGGAAGATGTGTTGATAGCAAGTTGGTTTGAGATTATCTGGGTCTTTGCCGAAGCAAACACGTTTTCGGCAATCGTCTCGACTGCCTGCTTCCAGGCCAAGTTATCCGCCGAGACGGTTTGATTCGACGCGCCCTCTGGGTTCTGGTTCTTCTCAGTGGCCTCGGGCAGGGATGGTGTGGAACTCGATTTGCGTGAGGTGAGTGTGTTTCCCTTGTCATTTAGCTTTGCACCTGTGTTCACAGTAACCATCGACTGATTTCCCTCGAAGACAGAGAGATATTCACAATCGGCCAACTTTAAATCGTACTTTCCCTCGGCTCCCATGCGGTAGGAGTTGCGTACGCCATGGTCCCACTTCACATCGATCCAGCCGTTGTGTATTTCTCCGGTAATTGTGCCCTCGGCACAACCATCCTGATCCTCCCATCGCCAGTCGACGCCTCGAATTACCCGTGCACCGGTGGTCATCTGCTTGAGCTGAGCTCTAATCTGCCGCCTCTCGCGTCGTATTTTCGCCTCGGCTTCTTTCACGCTCTTTCCAATGTCATCGGCAACTCCCACGACGCGACCGTAGATCTCGAATCCGCTTAAACTCAAATAGTGGGTCTGGCCAGACGCATTGCGTCCATTCTGCTGGATTCTAATGTGACGGTATCTCACGGAATCGTCGGTTGCGCAGGTAATGGGCCAAGTGGCTGTGCTACCGGGCTCCACCAGGCTCTTGTCATCCACATGGGAGCTCAGGGTTGTCCAGCTCAAGCCGTCCTTTGAACCCTGAAGTAGCCAATTTCGCAAAGCCGATCTTCCATAGCCGCGAGCATGACGCAGTGTGTAAGCAGTTGGGATAATATATACTCCCAAATCGATGGCAAACCAGGCCTTCTTGTTGTCCTTGGTGTGACAATTGAGTGAGATGCTGTCGCGAGATAGGATATCCTCCAGTTTCCCATACGGCAAAGTCTTTCCCTCCGAACTGGTCACTTGCACAAGGCCGTACTGTGCCGGGTTAACCCAATCGCAAGTCTTTGCATTGGAGCCAATGTAGAACAACAGCCCATCTTCATCGAAATCGAATGAGTGCGAAAACACGGTTCCGGTCCTATGTTCCCGTATTTTTTTCAAATAGAAGTATGTAGACCTGTCGAGGTCGTACCACTGCTTGGCTACCATTTTTAGGAGGTACTTGGATAGTTGTCCAATTGTGGCCAAGGGTTCCATTTTTAGAGTTCGTCCCGAACGGTCGAACAAGGTGCTTTCGCATTCTGCACGCTCCAATCGGAAGCGAAGTCGCTTCTGCAGGATTTGCAAACTGTAGCCAGTGCACGGAGTGTCGTACAAGTACACTGGTAGCTTCTCTGTGCTTTCCAAAACCGACACAAGCTTCTGAATCAAAATACTTGCAGTACTTTTAGTCCTTGGCTTATTCGTTGCAGATTCAACGTTATCCTCGAGTATACATTTCTTGAATACGGAAACTCGTTGTTTTTGCATTTTGTTTCGCTTGCAGCGAGGTGAATTGTTTTCCCAATGGTTAACCGACAAAACGGCCACCAGCGCTTGTACCAATCCCGACGAATGCATTTCATAGGCGCTCACGACACCATCTTCGTGGATCAGTTGAGACAGCTTCATTAGGGCGTCCGATAGGGTGGTTTCCCAGTTGCCATTTGGCGCCATATGCTGCTCCTCAAAGGATACCTCAATTTGCTTCACGATGTCCGTGAGAATTGCTACGGCCCCTCGAGGAATTGTTTGGGCCGACTTGAAGTATTTGTTGTAAATTTCCCGGGACAAGTTTCGAACTTGGAACTTCTGACCTTCTGTCTTGGACTTGTTGCGCTTCTTCTTGGCCGTTGACCAACCGGAGGCAAAGTCGGGACCCAAGACAGTTTCTGCCGTGAAGGTGTGCTTCGTTCCTCGGTTGCTTTCAAAAATAAAGCCTGGCAGGTCATCCTGCAACACGGTAACTTGATGCCCTTCAGTGTTGTGTATCTGAAGTTGATTGGTTTTATGCGACTGCAGGACCCAGTTTCCCACAACCAAGCGAAGGGCACTCGCAGTGGGTAAAATGGGCTGGGATACAACTCCTGGAATCACACAGGAACGAGCTCGCATGAGTTTCTCAAGAAATTCACCGCGATTTTCTGAAAAGGAAATATTATTGGGTTATTATAACTTTGAATTAAAATATTAAACTTTATTAATTTACCAGAGCTATCATTTCCGTTTTCTGGACTTCCACTAGAGTACATCGTAGCTAGTTTGCCATCTATTATAAAACGGAACCATCCGTTTGAGCCGTTGGACAGCTCAAGTGCTACAGAGTCTGACCAGACGTACAAGCAATCGCGTCCCCTGCAAATGCTCCACTCCCTCCAGTGATATGGCTTTCCTTGCAATATCTCTTTTGCGTCCTCCATAGGATCATCTAAAATACATTTTAGAAAGGCAACAGATAAGCACATAATTTCCCTTAACTGAAAGTATAAATATACCTGAAGTTGATCTTGGCGTGACAACAACGCTGGTCGAAGACCTTGGTGTTAAAGCTGGCTCCTCCTGGCTTCCAGATAATTGTACATACAATTCCTCTGCATCAGTGTCCATCAAGGCTTGAACCTTTGCAAACACTCCTAGTCTTGCAAAATGATCCAGAAATTCCTCTTGTGTCTTACACATAATTTCCTCAATAATGTTTAATACAATTAAATGACCATCATCGTCATCCTGAAACAAATTTGAGTTATTAATCATTTGATAGTTAATTAAATCATACAATGATTTCTTACCTCGTTGTCTAGGACACTGGCGATCACCTCGATCAAAAGGTTTCCACCATTTTGCCCAGATGTTGAAGCCTCATCTTCGCTGAAATTGGTTTCGCTGAGACTTTGAAGCACCGTTGGGTACGCGTATTGTACGATCTTTTTTATCAGGGCCAAGCTGGCACGTCGCACGCTGCCGAGCATGGAACCCAAGAAGGTGCGGCAGAATATGGGGAGGAGCACCTTTAGGTAAATGGGCGCCATTTCGGGATCGCCGCGCGGCTCCATGAGCGTGTATTTCTTTCCATCCTTGTTTAGTAGCGAATGATCGGGAGACATCCACTCCCCAGGTGACTGCAAAATTGCGGCTACCTCTCGATGTCCGTCGTCCAATCTTTCGCGCGCTTTATCCAATGGGGTTTTGCCATCTTCGTCGCGCAAATCCGGATAGGCTCCGAATTTTAACAGGATTTTTGCAATGGCCGGGCGACCAAAGCAAGCGGCATAGTGAAGGGAAGAGCTTCGCTGGCCCTTGTTGACATCGGCACCCTTCTCGCACAAATATTCGACCATTTCCAAGGTGCCAAAGGCTGAAGCCCAGTTTAGAAGGGTTTGGCCCACATCATCCATACAGTTGACATCAATGCCGCCAGATTCGATGGCCTCACGAAGGGCCTCAGAGTCCTTCGACCGTATGCAATCGATGAGCTGTCGATGCGTGCGATCGGTGTTGGTATTATTGCGCCTGGGTCGTGGCGCCAACTGCCCCTGGTTTGGGTTGTTACTTCCTCGGTTCAACGCTTGGCGCCCCTCGAACAAAAGTAATAGCAAGAGATCTGCGAATCGCATGCAGTCCAGCACACATCGTTCATCGCCCTGCAGAGCTCTTTCGAGGGCATCGGCCAACTGGGACCGCAAAATGTCATGGGTAATGGAGGGTGAGCCGCGGCAAAGTGTGGACAACAAGGAAATCGTAGTCGATATGGACTGAGGGGATGCGGCGGCATCAGATGACTTTACTTTGGAGCTGTTGGAAATGGTTGCAGTGGCCGCAACATTTTCATTGATTGCATCCGAGTTTGTGGTTGCAGCGGGTTGCGTGGAGCTAGTCGGTTGAGCTCCTGCCGCCGATAGCGAAGAGTGTGTATTACCTCCAACACTCTTGAGGCGCTTCAACAGCTCTGTGGTTAAGCCATACTCTGCCAGCGGGGCTGGGTCCACCCACTTCCGTGTGAATCGGTCTGCCACCGAGGCAAAACACTTTAGAGCGCCATCGGACACCATGGCGTCCTCGTGTTGCAGCAGAGTACTCAGACTCTCGACGCAGTTCTGAATGCAGGGCGTGTTGGGCTCGACCTTGGTGCAGAGTCTAGAAACCACGGACATGGCCGAGTGCAAGGTGTCCTTGTGAACCTGCGAGCCGCAGTCCCGGATGAAGGACAGGACGCAGTTCAGGCCACCGCCCTCGAAGACGGCGCCCGCCTCTCGGGTGCAAATGAGCTCGAGCACCTTGATGCATTGCTCCGCGAGATCGCGAGATGTGCGCGATGATAGATCGGCAACCACAAGATGATTGCAGATGGCCTTGATGGCTCCATCGATCGAAACGATTCGCCTGGTGCACTCCGCCGAAACGTCCAGGTAATAGGTGATTGCTCGCGCTGTGACCTCGAGTACATTTTCTGGTGCAAGTTCATCCAGGAATATCTTACACAGTGCTGGTAAAAATGTTCGAGGAGGACAACTGAAGTGAGGGATAAGAAAACGAGCGTTCAAAAGTGAGTTCAACTATAGGTGTCACTATCAAATACCTTTCGAAGCAACGATCTACATTATCAGACATAAGGAGCAGCATACACAGCTGCTCCAGGGCAATCAGTTGCATGTCCCGCTCATCTCCTTGTCCCATGGACAACCATTCCAGCAGCGTCTCGGGGTCGACATCGCCCATCTGTAAGGTAAACAAGAAAATTTTGAATATTGGCTTAAAAGCTGTGACATGTAATGTATCGACAACTAAAATACAAATCAACAAACACGCAGTGGATCCTTCTAATGGATTCCTTTCGTGTTATCCAACCAACATTTATGTATATATTGATTCGGAGGTCTGACAGGCAATGCGCTGTCCTTAAGTTGATTTAAATAGGCAACTAATGGGTATCAGTTCTCACGAACCTATGTACATTTAAAACAGAAATTTTAAATGACTACTGAATAGAAAATGTGCGACCTTAGAGGATTAGATGGCACGAGATATCCACCCTTTCATCAATTTTTTATGAAATTTCTGTGGAAGTAGTACTTACAACACCCACAAGAAATTGTTGGGTACTGTGATTTACTTATTGTTCATTGTGGTTTGTTTATTGGAAATGAGATTACCACTATGCCTAGAGCAAAGCAGCTGAATTGACAGAAAGTATTCTGATAAAATCGTAATTTTTATTTGATTATACATTTTGTTAAGTTACCAAAACTTTCAATATACAAAGACTTAGCTTAATTAGTAATTTACTAATGGCCATTTTTATTTTTAAATTATCCTATGTTATAAAAAGAGAAAATTTAATTATTCAACCCACGATAATATATAATATTAGAATCTCCCATGGGGTTTATAAATGTATACCCTTATTTTGAATCTCTTTCTTTAAATAAAATTGTTCACTTACCGCAAATCGAAATTTGATTTATTTTTCTTAACCAAAACTGAAACAAGACAAAAGAAATATGTATATTAGTTATTATATAAAATACTAACGGAGTTTAGTTAAAGTATTATATTTTATTTGTTTATAATTATCAAGTACACCAAAGTAATTGGAGAAAAGAATAATAGTAATTCGATTGCCGATATTTGAGTACAAATTCGGGTTGCTAGGCATTCTTCAGTTGGCAAACAAAAGGTTAACTAGATACGATAAACATGTAAAATAAAACCTAAAGTGATTACTTGACCAAATAAATATTACTCTTCAAGAATGCAATGGAAATTGTATAATTCTAAAATGAAATCAGCAAAACATTTTTTATAGAAACACGGAATTTCATCATTTTTTTAAAGATTTATTAGCAATATTGAGATTACCAATTAAGAAACTTATTAAAAACAGTTCTTATAGAAAAACGGGTATTTCATAATTCTTGTAACGATTTATTGGCAATTTTGAGTTTACCAATTGGATAACTTGTCATTCCTTATAAAGTAACCTGAATTGCCAAATGCTCACATGGCACACAAAGAAATAGTTGGAGGGAAACTGCGTTGTACCATCCCAACTCACTTGAATTTCACCGCGATGACTCGAAATTCGACTTGTCATAATGTTAATATGGACATACTTACATATATTGATTTAATTCAAGATAAGGAAATGTGTTTATAACTAATTTATAGGGAAACAACAAAAGAAAATATAAACATGCATCGATATGTAGGATTATGCACACGTACATACATATGCATGTATGTATGTATTTTTATACTATCACACTACATACTTTTTCTTATACGATTTTGGGGATAGAAGAGCTCATATATTTTATCTTAACAAGGTAATTAAACGGGTAGAAGGTGTATTTCCCCAAATAATGTCTTATTCTTACAAATGCACCAATTCTGCGTAAAATAATGATGACACTTCTTCGCTCTTTTCTCCCCCTCAACGAAATTCCAGTTGTGTATGTATAATTTAAGACCTTTCTTTTCTGAAATCAAAACTACTTTGGAGTTACATAAAAACGCAGTTGTAAGGTCCATTGTCTTCGACAAGGTATTTACGCATTTCGCAATACATATGTGAACCAACGCGAAAACATGTGTACGTAATGTAATTGTCCATTATTTATTAACATTAGTGTCGTGTCTGCTCAAACGCAAATGTACATACACACATACACATGGATATGAATACACTAATTTTGAGGAAATTACCATTGAACCAAGTTAATATACCTTTTTTGCATTATATTGAATATTTTGCTATGGTTTGCAATCTTTTTTAAAGCTGCTTCTTAAAGCTTTTTAACAATTACTCAATACACCACACTATTTTTATTCACACAAATGTCCAGCAGCTCGAAAATTGATTATAGAGATGACAAACCGACGATGACTTTTTATCGATATCAGCCTATAAGCGGAGACAAGAATTAGGGGCATTCACACCTTATAATAGTCCGTTTCCCGAATCTGATTATCAGATTATCCATTTAAATCCAATTGGTATTAAATAAAAAGGTGATTTAATTTTGTTATTAACTGTTGCTGGATTACGGGTAGTGACTATTCAATAAGTCACATTGCTGAAAAAGTGGAACCGTTCCGTTTTTTCGTGAAATTCTTACCAGTTTAATTCCACGCGTTCCTAAAGAAATTCATACACCTGCCTAAACAGCGGTTTTTTAATTTGATTTGGTTCAGACAAAAGTTAATTAGTTTGACTTATTAAGGAAATATACTAAAATTAATTATAAATAATTAGTAGGTAAGTAAGCCAAACGACAAAGCCATGAAGAGTGCGTACATTTTACTTAATAAAGCTTTTAAATAACATTAGTGATTCGGAGTTATGACTTGTATTTGCCCTCTTGCCATCAAGGTTGCTTTTAACCAACCACAAGATTTCTAAGCAATCTTTTTCTGAGGAACCCTGTTCAAAAATAAGCAAAATAACTTTGCAGTGATTTAAATGTATTATTTTTATTTAATTTTATTTAAGAGTACTTAATAAGTATATATTTATTATGACATAGAATTTAAATAAATTACACTGTGCAACATATTTAGAGTTATAGAGTACAATCGCAGTTTGGATTTAAAATTCTGAAAGTACTCATCGAAACGAGTAAGAACCCATTGGACGTTCCTCTAACTTATCTCGCTTTGGATGTTGTAATGTAAAGATTTCAACTAAAAATTGCATTTTCTGTTCATGTCTACAACAATAATTATAGCTAAAAACATAGATTAAAAATAAAAAAAAAATTTTTTTTAAATCCACGTTTTGTGAAATATGTTTTAAAATTTTGGAAAGATAACGTATTGTTTAAAATGTATTTAAGTACCAACTCCTTTATTTCAATTGGATTTTTGAGTCTAAAATATACAATTATATTTTGTAGTTTTTGGCAAAAATGGGGTCTGACTCGTTTCAATAAGTACTTTCTGACTTTGAAATCCAAACTGCGGTTACATTTTTCGTGTAGTCTAATTATGTTCTGGAATAAGTTCCGATGCCCAAACATCTTGTGGCCATCCTGTACGGCCCTTAGTCGACATGGGAATATTCTGAAATGACAAATAGCATTAATCGTTGAATTTAGTAAAAATGCTTAGCTAAAAAAATTAAATTTTAGTTGGCAAGTTGGGCAAAACCTACTTTCAAAGCAACCTTTTTGAATTGTAAAATGATGTCAACGCTTTAAACAATATTTAAAAATCATTCTAATGTTTATCCGAATGTTTGTTTATATTTTGAAAATACTGGACTCTCTTGCCCTTAATTTATAAGGTAATCTAGGAAAATCAAGCTGAACTTGTAAATAACTATAGCAATAAATAAATATTTAAAAATAATCAAGTTCATTAAGTTTCAAGTTTCATTTTTATTAAATCCGCAGGGAAAAAGGAAAATGCTTGGTAGGTTTCTAAAAACCAGGTTTTTCAAAAATATTAGGTGTTCAATCGAATACTTTTTAAAAAGAAGACATATATTTGCTAAATTGATTGGACACAACTCGATATATAAAATATCTTATGAATATCAGCCGGAAAATTATAATAAAAGATCTTAACATTTTTAGGCCGTTCTCATAGATAGTCTCTCTATAGATAGTCGACTTTATTTGTACCTTGTATTTAAGAAACTCGGGAAATTGGTAACTTAATTTGTTTAAACGAAACGTACATAGGCTTCAGTTGAAACGTACTGGCTGATGTCTAACGCACTCACTTTGTTTGTATAGATCATAGTTTCTTTTTTGTATACAATTTGTACCCACAAATAGATAATTAAGAAGTAAACAAAAAGATAACACGTGCACGGAAGCACTATGGAAACACTTTACTATTTTATTTAGAAATGTAGTTCAGTTTTAATTGTTTTGACTTGTAAGGCAAGACAAGATCCACAAAAATTGGCATTGGGAAATTATTCCTAAGCACGAACGATTGAAAAATGCTAAACGTTTGTTTAAAAGATTTCGTGTTTTAAGAGCTGAAGTCTAGTTTTAATGTAATCTCTCTAATTCAAAAGTACAAGTATATATCAATAATATAAAAATACAATAATTATCTTGATATTTCCAATATTTCCCAGAGAAGTGTTTTGACAAAGCACTTGATTAATCAAACCCTTAATGGATTAAATATTTTTGAAACAGCACTTAGGCACTTGTCTCTGACTTTCATATCTTTTACCAGATTGCCCTATTAAAATAATGGTTCGAGCAATTCACCCCCACTTTTCGTGATGCCGGCGGCGGTCGGAAAGCATGGATTTTCAATTACGCCTGCATGTGTCTGCGGTTTATCACTTCCCAAATTGCATAATAAAGTACAACTTACAAGCGGTCACTGGTCCTATAAGTCCAATCTCGATTTTTGAAGCTAAACATGCCCTTCCATTAGGAAAATCAATCGAATTTTCACTTGCGGATTACTAGGCAAAATTGCTTTATGCTTACGGATGGTTTCTTTTTGAACACAGAACTCTTTTATAGAGTCAAGTGCTTTTATTTCTTATAATAAACAAACAATTGAGATATCTACCCCAGTGCAGAAACAAAGCACAGACGGTGGGGATAGCAACATCCAGTGTACCATAAAAATTCCGAGTATAGACCTCAATAAGATGGAAAAACAGAATTGAAAATCGAATTGGTTTGAAAAATACACAGAAGTGTATTTCGGTCATCATTACTATCTACAAAATAGCATATCATACGCCCCCAATAAGCGGGAAACTCTTGTTTATCTCTACTTCTGCATAACAAACCTAAAATATTTTTCAGATTCCATATCAATTAACTTCTTGTAACGTAACACCTGAAAACGACATCTATCCTATGGGTCGGTTAAGAAAAGTGATTATGATTATGATGAATTAATGCGACGTTTACGTTTAAATTAAAATTATTATTGTATTTTTTAAAGTTGAAAATATATACAAATTTAAATTAATTTTGTATTTTTCAAAGTTAAAATATATACATATAACAGTTTCGAATGGTTATTTTTTAATATATTATTATCGTCGGGTCTACAACACTCGCTTAAAAAAATTGAAATGAGTACAAAATTACAAACAAAAAGAGTAATTTAAAAACGATTTTAGTAGCTCAAAAAATGTGTTTTTCTTACTTGAATTTCTGACTTTAAGCAATGTTTCTTTTCGCTACAAATCTTACGGCTGACTGGCTTAAGTTCTGCTCGAAATCCGCCTTTTGGATCCTGATCTCCATCAAGAACATTAACTAAGTAGTTTATGTACAATATGGCCAACTTCAATGTTTTAATCTGTTAAGTAAACCAAAAAAACAATTAATCCGTTTGTTTAAGCATTTCTTATTAGGTTTCAACTTTTATCTACTTTCTTAAATTTGATTGATCACTTTTTAAATATTAAAAATATATTTAAGTTGGAAACGTTGAAAACTTCGAGCTGACCAATCTCCGTCGGTGAAATTACCTTTGAAAGTTTGGTATCTGTGGGAACATTAGGAATCTTTTCTCGAAGATAGGAAAACGCATTGTTTATGCTTTGTGTTCGCCTCCTCTCCTTTTTGTTAGCTGTATTTCGTTTTTTAACGATCCGAGTACTTGAAGTTGGCACATAACCTATGTGATTTGTGTTATATATCTGTTGCTGAACTTGACTTTCAGAGTCTGAAACAAAGTCCAAATATGTTATATTGAATTAAAACGAAAGGTATGATAAAGAGGTTCCTATTTGAGAAGTTCTTAAAATGATACACTTTACACCACATGAGTCGTACTTTCACTAGAACTTTTGGTAAAGCCACAAGTTAAGATTTAAAATGTTTCTTTTAAATTTTTTGGTTTCATTGAATTCACTGCCACAAAGTACAAAAGGTATTTAAAGATTTACGTTTTATGTCGAACATCGTAGATGCATTATACACAGAGTTATAATACATGGTTGAGTATTCACGCACTGCGGCTACGGAATTTTCAAACATTTTTTAATTTTGCTTATATAATTCCAAAACAATTTCGCGGTTTGAGATCAGCATTTTCATCGCTGGTACGGAACAGAAAAATTACTCTTTGCTGGCTGGGACGTAACTGAAGAATTTTTTCAATTGTTGAATGAGTAAGCGCCAGCATCGAAATCCTCCCTCAAAATCCACCAATGGCGAACGCTGGGTTTTTGTAATATCTCCGCCGGCCAATAGTGAGCGCTTTGAGATTTGTATGTACTCGTGTATATACATTTATTTCAGTCTTTATCCAAGATAAGACTTGCCTTCCATGGTCCTGTTCTCTGTGTTTCTGTCATTAGTGTTCAGTCGTTCTATCAGTCCGGTATCCGTTTTCTTTCCAGAAAATATTCTATTAACCACCAGACCCTCACAAAATGTTTAATTTATCTCAGCTTTTTTAGCCTTGCAGAACACCCTATGTTTTATTACTAAGTTTGACACGCAGAAAAGGAGACTTTTCCGACGCTAATTTAATCAATCTACCCCTGTCTTTGTCCTATATGAAAGGTATCCGAATACAATATTTCTGATGGGTATAACTACTTAAGTATCGATTTCAGTAATATGATTTTAGTTTGGTGTATTTATATATTGGACGAATAAATTAGTTTTTGTTGTGTTCGGTTACAAAACAATGTTAATTTATGATTGAACTTGTATGTATGTACATTTTACATGGTAAAACTCAAATGTTACTGAACTGAGATAAAGAACTTTCAATATCGCGCAGCACAAGAGCGGTTCTCGGTTTTCAGTTCCAAATCTGAATTACAAAAGAAGTGTCCAGAACTGGAAAATAAGATATAACACACTGGCCTAAAGAAATACGCGGTTTCTTTTGGTGTTCTTTGTTTAAGAATCTAAAATCTC